CAGGATTTTCCAGAGAGATATTCTGTTGTCACTTGACAAATATTTGTGATCCTGGCATCATAATAAAATCTGTATTCTTGTTTCTGGAATGAATTTATTATTCATAACGAATATCATTTTAACTATTCTGATTTCTACTGCAATGGCTAAAGGGAAAGATAGATTGGGGAACAGGTCTCTAACTAAACAGATGAGGTCTGTGAGCTGAAAAGTGTGAGTAGTGGCCCAAAGGAGATCTTCTGGAGGAAGGAGGCAGGCCCTCTACCAGCAGTACGTATGTGGTTAAGAAGACAGGCTTTGTCTTCAGAGATCTGGGTCCGTCTTCCAGCTCTTTCTTAAAGGAGCATGGCTGTCCCCACCAAAGGCCTGCATTAGTTAGGGTAATGCTAGCTACTGTAACAGGCAGATTCAATGCAGTATGATGGCTCAAAGAAGATTAACAGTCTATGTCTCACTCTTGTAACAGTCCTGGAGGGCAGCTCTCCCTGTGCAGTGACTCAGGGGCCCAGGCTCCATCCATCTTGTGGCTCTGTATCCTCTAGGCCCTCATGATTGTTTGGATTCAGCTGGTGCAGACAGAAAGCACTGAGAAGACAAATGTCTTCTTCACAGCTTTGGCTGGAATTAAAACTCCTCATGCTGACTCACACTCCGTTGATGAGAATCAGTCCTGGGGCCGAATCTAGATGCAAGAGGGGCTGGGAAATGTAGTCAATCAGGTGGGGAGGTGGGGAAGCATGGGTTCTAGCAAATAGCTAGCTGAACCAGCCATAGGGGTGTTTATCAAAGACAGCAGTGATGACACATTCCATGGAAGGAGAGTCTGTTGATCTTAGACCAGAGATTTGAGGAGGTGAGGGGCTTTGGGGCACATGAGCCAGCCATGGAGCCTGAAGCTTGAGAACAGTGAGTTCAAACTTGAGTGAAAGCCAGGCTGTCCGGTCCCTCAGTCGAGAGGAGTCATAAATCAGGAAGAGACAAGAGCGTCACCAGTTAAAGTAAGTGTGAAAAGGGCAGGTCCTCATGATCAGAGAGCTTCCACTTGGGCTGGTCTTCATGAGAGAACTCTGCCTGGTTTGTGCTGAGGGCTGCAGTTACAAAGGTGGCTGAGGTGTCCTCTATCCTCAAACAGGAAATGGAGCAAACTGTATTCAGGAGGCAGAGGGCAATTCTTGGAGGCTGTATGTGTGTGTGTGTGTGTGTGTTTATGTGTGTGAGAGAGAGAGACAGAGACAGAACACGTAGTGGATAACGAAAAAATAATTAGGTAACCACAGAATAAAAGCACAACTACAAGTGCACGCATGTCTCTTGCTTCACTGTTTTTAGTGGCAGAAAGCTGGGAAAATCCTTAACGTCCATCATCAAAGGGAATGGCTGAGTGAAGTATGCTCTGCCCAGCCTGGGGATTTCTGTGCAGCTGTTGGGAAGGATGATGCACATCTGTATGTGCTGGTCTGCAGGGACCCCCACTGGAAAAGCAAGCGCAAAGTCAGGTGTTTTATGTGTTCCAAATCTTTACAGGAATTAGCAATTCTGGCAAGGATTTAAAAAATTAAGAGTCTTTTTTGGTGGGCTGCATTTTAGTCTCAGCACTCCAGATGGTGAGTGTCACCGCGGGAAGTCTAGAAGGTCACAATGTTCCTTTTTATTTTTTTATTTTATTGTACTTTAGATGACGGTTTACAGAACTAGCTTATTAAACAGTTAGTACACATATTGTTCTATGACACTGGTTACCAACCCCACAACATGTCAACACTCTCCCTTCTTGACCTTGGGTTCCCTATTACCAGCTTTCCTGTCCCCTCCTGCCTTCTAGTCCTTGTCCCTGGACTATTGTGCCCCATTAGTCTCTTTTTGTTTTATGGGGCTGTCTAATCTTTGGCTGAAGGGTGAACCTCGGGAGTGACTTCATTACAAGCTAAAAGGGTGTCCAGGGGCCATACTCTAGGGGTCTCTGCAATCTCTGTCAGGCAAGTCAGTCAGGTCTTTTTTTGTTAGAATTCTGTTCTACATTTTTCTCCAGCTCTATCTGGGACCTTCTATTGTGATCCCTGTCAGAGCAGTCAGTGGTGGTAGCCGGGCACCATCTAGTTGTACTGAACTCAGTCTGGTGGAGGCCGTGGTAGTTGTGGTCCATTAGTCCTTTGGACTAATCTTTCCCTTGTATCCTGTTCTCTTCATTCTCCCTTGCTCCCAACAGGGTGAGACCAGTGGAGTATCTTAGATGGCCGCTCACAGGCTTTTAAGAAGAAGGTCATTACCTTTCTTACTTGGGCCACAGACGTTTTTCATAGCTCTCTTCCCAGCTTGCTTTTCCCAAAAGATCCAAATTAATAAGAATATATTTTTGTTTAGAAACAAACAAAACACAACCTAGATACCAAAAACAAAAAAGAAAAATCTGAAAAAGAACAAAGTCTACAGTACTGGTTACCAACCCTGGCTGCACGTTAGAAGCACCTGGGGCCCTTTTACAAAATCCCAGCGCCCAGGCCACACCTGTAAGAGTGGTTGTCAAAGCTCCCAGGTCATTTCCATGTGCAGCTGAAGATACGAACCACAACAGTCTCACCGAAGTGGCAAAGGCCTGGCAACTGCACCTGGATTTCCAGGGCTGGGAATCACCCCAGATCCTGGCCACCCAGTTAGAGACCTGTAGGCAGAGAGCCCTGGTGGCGCAGTGGTTAAGAGCTTGGCTGCTAACCAGAAGGTTGCCAGTTTGAATCCACCAGCCGCTCCTTGGAAACCCTGCAGGCAGTTCTACTCTGTCCTGTAGGGTTGCTGTGAGTTGGAACAGACTTGATGGCAATGAGTCTAGGCAAAGAGGACTCTGGGTCCCAGCCATTAGCACAGTGGTGAGCAACCTGTTCTGCTCAACAGCCAATGGAAGAAAACCAAAAATATTTATGGGCTGTATGTTTTTCCTATTCAAAATCAAAATCACATGACTGAGATCCGTAAGCGTTGTCCCTTACGATGACCTACTTTGCTAAGTAGGAGACAGTTGACGGAAGCTGGCAACCCTTTTAATCACATACAATGCCTACCTGGGGATTTTCTGAGAAAGGAAAACAGAGACAGTTTTCTAAACTCCCGTCCTCAGATTACATCATGGGCCTTAGAGTGAAACCAGGTGTTGCGTGGGTGGTTCTGGAATGCCAAACTGCTCATCTCTAATCCCTGCATGGACATTAGCTAATTAAATCTATTTTCTGAAACTCTCTACTTACCAGGGAACAGTCTGTAATCTACTTTAGACTTGGCATTTTTCTTCATAGGACCAATAAACCAAAAAAAACAAACCCACTGCCGTCAAGTTGATTGTGACTCATAGCGACCCTACAGGACAGAGTAGAACTGCCCCATAGGGTTTCCAAGGAGCTGCTGGTGGATTCAAACTGCTGACCTTTTGGTTAGCAGCCAAACTCTTAACCGCTGTACCACCAGGCCCCAAAGGACCAACAGATACCGTTAAACTTTAAAATGGCAACAACTGACCTTGGAAAAAGAATAAGCACAACATCTTTGGTTCACGTGGTGAATTCAGTCAATGGAGTTTCCACGCAGTAATAGGCTCTAACAACACAACAAATAAAAACCCCAAACCTGCTACCACAGAGTCGAGTCTGACTCATGACAATCCCACGCGCTGTAGAGCAGAACTGCTCCACAGGGTCTTCCTGACTGTCAACTTAGCAGAAGATCGTCAGTCCTTCCATCCGAGGTAGCCCTGGGTGGGTCCAAACACCAACCTGGAATAGATGAATGCAAACTGTTTGCGCCACCTAGGGGCCTCCAACAAGACCAGTAACTATCAGACCAGCAGCTGTTAGATGGTAAAGTGCTAAAATTCCAGATTGACAACTTTAAGCAACAGAAGTGTAGCTCAGATGTTGCTGAACTTTGGCCTGTTTTGGTTCTCACACACACACACACCCTCCAACACACACACACCACACATACACACCCCCACCACATACACCCCAACACACACACACCCCCCACACTCCCACACACACACGCACACACCCCACACATACACACACCCCCCACACTCCAACACACACACACCCCACACACAACGGACACACCCCCCCACACCCGAACACACACACACACCCCAACACACATACGCGCGCACACACACACCCACACACACCCCACACACAACGGACACACCCCCACACACCCCAACACACACACACACATCCCAACACACACACGCACACACCCCACACATACACACACCCCACACACTCCAACACACACACCCCACACACACAACGGACACACCCCACACACTCCAACACACACACGCACACACCCCACACACTCCAACACACACGCACACACCCCACACACTCCAACACACACCCCACACACTCCAACACACACACGCACACACCCCACACACTCCAACACACACGCACACACCCCACACACTCCCAACACACACCCCACACACTCCAACACACACACCCCCCACACACAACGGACACACCCCCCCACACCCCAACACACACCTCCACACACCCCAC